CTGTCACCTCCCTCTAAAGAGCAGCATTAAAGCAGTAGTCACCAGCTCAGCACCCAAGACAGTGACCGTTCCCTGACTGTACAGTGCAAGTAGGGGCACCTGTGTCATCACAGCACAGAACTCTGAGTTACCACTATTCTTGCTTAACCCTCTGACATTGACTTTCACAGCTGGCTGTCTTCATGTGGCTGATGACCTATGTTGGTGCTGTTTTTAATGGAATCACCCTTCTGATTCTTGGTAAGGTGACAAGGAAAGTCTACCCATGTCTTTATTTCTTGACATAGTCCATAAAACAAAGTTAAGTGTCAGGCCAAATTGTGCAACCTATAATCACAACTATTCAAGAAGCTGACAGGAAGTGGTGGTGCACGCCTTTAATCCCAAATCCTAGGAGACAGAGAAGTGTGGATCTCTGTGAGTTCAAGGCCAGCCTGGTCTACAGAGGGAGTTAGAGGACAACTAGGACTACATAGATAAACCTTGCCTTGGGGGAAATAAATAAATGTATGTATGTATGTGTGTGTATATATGTATATAAAATGGAAGAAGCTGAGGCAGGAGCAAACCTGCAAGGGCAACTTAAGAAGACCCTGTCTCAAAATAAAAATTATAAAAAGGACTGGGGAAGCTGGGATTATGGTATACATCTATAATCCCAGCACTTGGTAGATGGAAACAGGAGGATTGGAATTCAGTGTCATGTTAAGCTTCATGAATTCTAGGCCCACTTGGGACATACGAGACCCTCAATTTAAAAAAAATGTAATCCAGGGGTAGCGTGCTTGCCTAAAGAGCATGCACACAGCATAACCACTATTGCCATATGGCCAGCCTATGTGTCTAGAATGTATATTAGGTATTGGAGTAACCTGGCATTTTGTTTATTAAATGGTCTGACAAAGAAATTTCAAAGTAAGCTGGGCAATGGTGGCACACACTTTAATACCAGCACTGGGGAGGCAGAGGCAGAAGGATCTCTTGACTTTGAGGCCAGCCTGGTCTACAGAATGAGTTCCAGGACAGCCAAGGATACAGAGAAGCTCAGTCTCAAAAAAAAAAGAAACAAAGAAAGAAAAATTTTAAAGCAACTATAAGTAAAGGGTTGCTTAGTTGCTTGGATTTGGTTTAAATGTGGGGACCTTGCTTTTAGGAACCACTTTTGTAGTTCAGAAGTTGAGTCTGTCATACAAAGAAAGCAGCCTGGTTGGGTTTTGAACTACGATGATCTGCTCTCAGGAGATCATGAGGCTGTCCTCAATTGGGAACAGTCTTGTTTTTCTCTTTCTGGCTGTTTGTACTTCATGAAGAAATGTCTGTTGCTTGAGTCTCTCACATTTGCACTTGCCATGTTTTGATTCTGTCTTACAGCTGAGCTGCTTGTTTTCAGCGTTCCAATTGTCTATGAGAAGTATAAGGTAGGCATTTGTCAAAAAGCAGAATGCTGAGTAAGTGTGACTGGCTTCGATTCATGTAAGGAAAGTAATAGGTTGAGAATCATGTCTTGCAGCAAGACTGGAGGCCTAAGATAGATGTTTGTGTCACAGAGGTGACATATCCTTTCCGAAAAAGGAAAATGAAGAGATACTATATAGTAAAAGTTGAGCTTCTCAAAACTAAACTGCATTTTCAAGGAAATGTTAGTGTGTCCGGATATTTGCATTGTGGGCTGTGTGGATTAGCTGTCCATCAGAAGACCTTTTGGGAGAGAAGGGAGAAGATGGCTCGGTTGATAAAATACTTGTCACCTCTGAAAAGCATAAGGACCTACCTGAGTTCAGATCTCAAGCACCCACATAAAATTGCCTGGTGTTATAATGTACATCTGTAATCCTAGTCTTGGAGAGTGACTGACTGAGAAAAATAAAGTAGAGGACTGGGGTTGTAGCTTAGCTGGTAAAGTGCCTCATATGCACAAAGCCCTAGTACCACATAAATTGTGTGGCACACACCTGTAGCCCTAGCATGTAGAAGGTAGAGTCAGAAAGATCAGGAGTTCAGGGTCATTCTTGGCAACATAATAAGTTGTAGGCCAGGTTAGACTACATGAGACCCTACCTTTAATTAATTAGTTAATTAATAAAAAGTAGAGAGCAACTGAAGAGAAACAATTATTTCCTCCACAGACACATGTGTGCGTGCGTGCGCACACACACACACACACAAACAAAAGATTTTTGGCTTTTTAATATTAAATGAGTTCATCTTGCCAGGAACCATAATACATAACAACTACAGAATATAGATAAATCTACAGTTTCAAATACCCAGAAAATGTACTTCAGTGTTGCTAAAGGAAACACCACGTCCTACTTCTACAAATGATGAGTGATTTTTATTTTGAAGTGTTGCATAAACTGAAATCTGAAAACAGAAATTTATAAACTTCTTTGAAAAACTAGACATCATTTTCATTTTCCTGAATAATGACTAGTGGGGGTTTTAATGATTTCACTAGAAAGAAGAATGCTTTTTAGGACAAGGGAGAACATTACCAAAATATATTGTATGAAAAATTGTAATAATAAAAATAAAAAGGCAGCCAGGCTGTGGTGGCCCACGCCTTTAATCCAAGCACTGGGAGGCGGAGGTAGATGGATTTCTGGATTTCTAAGTTTGATGCCAGCCTGGTCTGCAGAGCGAATCGAAGGAGAGCAAAATCCTATCCCAAAAAACCAGAAAAGAAAAGAAAAAAAAAAGAGCCTCAAGAAAATTTTTAGCCCTGCTGAATTCTGAATCTTCCTTTCTTTCTTTCTTAAAGACGCAGATTGATCACTATGTTGGGATTGCCCGGGATCAGACCAAGTCAATTGTTGAAAAGTAAGTACACTTAGGGACCACGTTCACCATTTCCCATGTATCCTATACCTCCCCTTATGATTTCTAGTCTCTTATATAAAATATTACTGTTAAAGTAATATTTTCACCCTGAATAAAACCTTATATAATTTTATTTATTTGAGCCTCTTGTTAAGAAGCATATTTGGGTTTTGTTGGTTGTAGTAGTTTGGTTTGTTGGGTTGTTTATTTGCATTAAAGACAGGGTCTTGCTATATACTATGCTAGCCTTGAACTTAATATCCCTACCCGCTAACTCTCAAGAAAGAAGTAATATTTTTTTGTTATTTAACCCTATTTTATTCTCATATACCAAGTTAAGGAAACTCTTTCCTGTCTTTTCTAGTAAATAAATAATGTAAAGCTTAGATCCTGGCATTGTGATAAACACCTGTAATCCCAGTACTTTGGAGACAGAAGCAGGTAGATCCCTGTGAATTCAAGGGGCACTGTGGTGGTATTTCTCAAGCTTGTTCCAGGCAGAGAACAGCTGAACCCTACCTTATATCCCAGAGGAAATACAGATCTAGAACAAATGCATATTTAAAACAAGTATTTTCAATTTTCTTCTTCTTTCCTTAATAGGATCCAAGCAAAGCTTCCCGGAATCGCCAAAAAAAAGGCAGAATAAGCACATAGAAGCCAGAAGTGCAACAGTTACTAAAACGCCATTTAATAGTTATAACATCGTCACTTGTACCATGAAGAACTTGCTCAGTATCAGCTTGAGCTTGGTTCCAAGTTGTTTGTTATTTTTAATTTGGTGTTCTTTCCCTCCTCTCCCTTTACCCTCAGTACCAAGCACAAGACGTGTTAGACTGAAATAAGAACTGATCTCTTAGAACCCAAAAGAATAAAGAGTGAATCAAATTAATAGAATTAATCGGACCATAGCAGTAGCGGAGCTTTTACCTGTGCTATGAAAGGGGAAGAAGAGAAAAATGTCTCTAGGGTCCTCTATCCAGTTTTAAGGACTTGTATGCAGTTCCCATTTATAATTTTACCCTTATTTTTAAGTTAGGAAATAATGATTAACTTATGAATAAATAGTCTTGGGCAGGAGTGGGTTTTCTTCCATTGGGTTTGTGCGGCCCTCCAGTCCCACTTTCCTGCCTTACACCTAAGCAGCTACTCCTGCTCTTCTTTCTTAAATGAAAGAACTGTCAGCTCTGAATAACTTACAGGTGATAGAGGTAATTCCCTTTTCCCAGCATTCCGTCTGAGAAATACAGAGGGAACAGAGTGGGGAGGAGCAGTCAGCAGAGGGCAGCAGTCACCTTCCTGCTGCTGCTCTTCCTATGGAAGGAAAGACTCTGCCATCTGGGAGGGCAGAGTCCAAGTCATTGATCTGGGATACCAATGTGAGTGTTGGTTTGAGAAATCATTCCAGAATGTGCTTCTCCCTTTTTCCCTGCCCACCTTACCTCAAGTTTAATAAATATGGTTGTACTTTTCTTATGAAATAAATGTCTGTAACTGCTGTACACTGCTATAAATTTAAGAAAAATAATCTGCATGTGGGCTCCCAGCCATTGAGTTATTATAATCCTATCCTCGTCTGTGGGAAATGAGATACAAGAACATGAAAAGCCTTCCTTCAGTGTCTTCCCTACTGCTTTCTCCTCCACTGCTGCTTCCACTTTTACTTTGCTAGTTTAGCCTGAGGTGTTTGTAGTCCAGAGGCCTCGGTTGCTTAGAGAGGGAGGTACATTTCCAGATTCGTGATGTAGCTTTGAGCAGCTTGTGAGTGAATGTTGTTCTGAGGGGATCTCCATTTTCAGACACATTTATGACATAGTTCCTACCATGGCCTATGGTGCTCATTTGGAGAATATTTTCAAGAAGTTTTAGGTTGTAGGTGGCCAGGCAGGACCAGGAGATGTTGCTAGACAACAGAGTAACTTATGATTGACTGGGGATCTTGATTTTTATTTGAGACTTTGCATCTCCCCTTCATGGGAATCTAATCGGCTTGTAAACTGGCATCCAACGAGTTTCTTCCCTTCTCAGCCCTGTCTGTTGTGAGGAAGAGCTGGGACTTCAAGGGCTGTCCTCAGTAGTCACTAAGTTGTGTGACTGTAAAAATAGGAATCTTCAGAAATGACTTAAGGACTTTGACAGGTAGAATGCCTTCCTTCATTTTCTTAGGTTTTTTGCCCTTGTTTATTTTGAATTTTTGGTTTCCATTGTAGAAAACACTCCATCGCCATCCTCTGCCCTCCCATGAAGTGAATGCACTGATGGTCTTTGGGGTCTCCCAACAAGGGACCCCGCTCTGCACTGGAAGCCTCCACACCTGGCTCTTTTCTTTGTTGCTGCTGTGTTAAAATAATTGGAAAGATTTTTGTGCCACACAGGAATTTTTTTTAAAGAAAAATCTATAGATGAAAAAGTTATTAATGAAATTGTGTACGTGTCTGTGCGTGCAACATAAAAATACAGTAGCCTCAAGGAGCTCTTTCGGTCCCTGTAAAACTGCAAATTGATGTATTAATTATAAATAAAGAACACAGTGACTGTCTCATCAGTCTGCAACTTTATTCTTCTCACATGGTTTGAGTGAAGTGAGCGCAAAAGGCTTTCACTTAATCTCACCTTCATTCCAGGAACTCCTAAAAGAACTCCCAAGATTGCAAGGATTCCCACGGCACTGCGCAAAGCTGCACCACATTTGGTTTCTAAAATGGGGTGGAGACCCTATAAATGGTGACCTTAGAAGTGACCTGAGTGAAAGGGCCTGGTTCAGCCCCTCCACCCTGGGAATGGGAAGGGTCCCCACTTACCACAGGAAGCAGCCTATAGGCCACACACAGCCAAAAGCTAAAACTGAGCTGGTCATGGCACATCTGGTCTGACATCAGAACTCATCTGACTTGCTCTGCCCCAAAACTGAGTTGGCTGTGACTCATTCTAGACTTTTAAGATTTTATTCAGCATACCTCTCGGGAAAACTTAGGCTGAAATACTTTTTAAATGACTGATGCAAACAACTTCACAAATACACATACAAATGTTTGAATAGTGTCACTAAGTAACATGGCATATAAATATGTATCCAGAGTAACATTTACATATGGGCCATAATAGCAAGCATACCATTAACAAAACAATGAAGGAATTTCACCTGTTTAATCAGAATCCCGAGAGAAGGAGACCCACCATCCCTTTGACCCCTGAGGTCCTAGGTCCACTCATGATAGAATCACTGCAGAGGTACTTGCCAGACAACCACCTGGGAAGATGCAACTGTATGGGAAAGGTCGATCAGAATGCACTGTGGTTAATCAGGTGGACCCAGGATCTGTCTCTGGCAAGTGCCTAAAATGATGCTAGTCTGAGGCTGCCTCTCAAGGGGAAAACCATTTCTAGCTTCTGCCCCAGCTAACCTGCACTTGAGCAGTGAGCTCTGGCGATGACAATCACCAGCTCCAATTTTGCCTACTATTTCTAAAAGATAGTGTAGAGGTGGGAGAGAATACTCACTCTCAGTTTAAAAACATGGATTAAAAAAGGGAGGGGGGGTCAGCGCCCAGCCTGGCACAATCCATAATCTCTGTTCTCAGGATTTTAATACTGTCTCCAAAACCCTGGCTGGGCAAAACTGGAATTTTAACTGAACCAGCAGCCGTTCCAGTTCCAGAATGTGTGATGGCGTCAAAAAAAGCATTGATAGTGAGCCTTATTCTGTAGAAGAGGTAGGCCACACCTGGAGTCCTGTCCCCCACCCCGACTCACACACCCTCACTGGCCTGCAGTGCAGAAAGCTGCCTTCATCCTCATTCCCAGGAAGTGCAATGCTTTGCTCCCCTCAGGAGTCAAGGGCTGTGGGCCTGCAGTGCCCAATGGGTAAAGAAATCTTGTAACTTGCCAGATTGGAAGCAGTGAAATATAGTGCAAAGCTCACTGAACTAGAAGTCGAGATTTTAATTCTAGTTCTTGACCTGTACCTAGCTGGCTAAGTAATAATTTCTGGGTTTTGAAATTTTGCTCCTCTCTCTAAAAGGGATCAATTTGTGATTTCCAGGGTACCTTCCCACTGACCATCTTGAATTATATAAAAATGCTATAAAATCCATGGTATAAAATCCAACTCTCCACCAGTCAGTCTAGGGAACTGGGCCTGAGGCACTTGAACCTTGAGCTCTGGCTCTGGCTGGTGAGAGAAGGGATTCCTTGTTATTTTCTCACCACGGACTGCCCTGGCCCCAGAACCCAGGGCCCCTCCCAAGTCCCATCTCCTGACCACCGCACCCTAGCTTTAAAAGGAGGGTACCGTGCCTGCAGCGGCTTCCCTCTGTGAGGAGCAGACACTGTACCTAGAAACAAGGCCAGGTGAATATGGGATATTTAGTATTCTCCAATCTCCTCGCCACAAGTCCATCTCTATCCTCCCTCCACCACCTCACAGCTTATCTCTGATACACGCATAATAAATAAGACATTTGCACATAAGGGTGACTGGGCCAGTTCCCCCTCTCCCTTTCATATAAAAAGCATTAAATACAGTTTCAAAATAAAATACAAAGAGCAAAAAAGGGCCTGATCTCGGGACCACCTGTTCTCCACGGGAGAATGAATCTACACATCCCTCTCGGACCTGCCTGGGAGATTAGGGGCCCTTCTGGCACCATGAGTAAGAGCAACAGAGGCCAAGGCCGGGCCCCAAGCCCTGGGAGCTGAGAACTAGTGTTGCACCCACTGAAGACAAATCACGTTCAGAGGTGGCAGTAACAGAGACCAACCGCCCCAGTGTTCTGAGCTCTCAGGATGCTGGCGCTGGACCAAGAGCGCGCCCGCCGCTTTCACTGAGTGGGTAACAGAAGCTCTCTGAGCAAGGCAGGCTAAGGAAAAGTGCTAATCCCTTTATGACCCAGGTCCCAAAGGCATGGCAGTGGCCCAGGATGGGATGTGCTGTCCCCTAGATCAGCCCGGGAAGCTGGCACTGCTGACTGGGCCCCGTCGTTCCGCCCGCCCACATCCTGCTCCTTGCTTTACCCCAGTCCGCCGCCTGGGCCTCTGAGAGGCCAAGAACACCAATTCGGATCCCACAGCAGCGCCTGGGAGCCGAGAGCCGCACCCGCGGTCGTGCAAGGCCGCATAGAACGGGGCCCCCGGCCAGGGCGAGCGGCCAGCGCGTCTTTCCTGACTTCCCTGCGCCCTAATACTGACTGCGGGCACCCCTACCCCGGCCTGGCAGCGCTGCGCCTTTGGGCGTGGTCGGGAGCGTTCGCTGTGAACGCTGGAGAGGCGCTTTGGCTTTTCGAGAAGCGCGGGGCCCTGCGCTAAGAGTGCCGAGACCCTCAGGCCAGTGTGCGCCGGCAACGCCTTCCCAACCCCAACCCAGCCCGGCCAGCGGGGAAACCCAGCGCCTGACTGCAGGGTCTCTCAGCCCAAGGGCCAGGCCAGCGCAGAGTGAGTGCTACGCGCGACAGGCCGCCCCCGGCTTGAGGTCCGCACTGCCGTCCCGCGGCGCCGGGGCCGGTGGTCCGAAGCCCTCGTGGCCGTAACAGCGTAGTGCCGCCTCCTCGTAAGCCTCCAAAATGGTCTGGCGCTCCTCTGGGGTGAAGTCCATGGAGAAGGGATGCACCTGCAGGATGTGTCGCTTGATTGTGCTCACCTTGAGCGTGGCCAGCGCGCCCCCGCACACCATGCACACCAGGCCGCGCCGGCTGCCGTCGTAGTCCATCAGGTACTCGCCCCGCCAGCGCGGCTGGTAGTTGCGCCGCTGCTCCCGGCTGCGAGGCGGCGGTGGCGGGGGAGGTGGCGGCGGTGGCAGTGGTAGCGGCGGAAAGGCTAGCCCCCCGGACTCCTGGTCATCTTCATCCTCCTCTTCTTCGGCGGGCCGCTCCGATGGAGCCCCGGGGGACAGCGGCTCGTCGCCTGGGGAGGAACAAAGGGCTGCCTTAGAGCGGTGGGCAGGAATCAGGCCCCGTCCCTACTCTCCATTGATCCTCCTGCCCCATCCTCCCATCTCTCCTTGCAGCCTTCTTCCTCTCTCACCACCCTGCCCTCCGAGCCCTCTGTCCCTGCCCGCTCTCCCTTGCCAGCTGCTCTGGCCCTCCACAGGCTCACCCCACCACTCCTCCTCTGGCTCCGCCTCCTCTGCCCCTCCCCCCTCCTCAGAGGCTGAGGCTGTGCTGGGGGCGACAGGGTCGCTGGGGGACTCCGGGCTGGGCAGCCCCAGGGCCAGCAGGTGTGCAGCCTTCTCGCTCCATTCCTGGGCGATGAGGGCCTTGACTGGCCCGCTGAGGCTGGTGGAGCCCGGGTGGCGCTGGCGGATGTGTCGCTTGATGGTGCTCATCTTGAGCGAGGCCAGCGCGCCCCCGCACACCATGCACACCAGGCCGCGCCGGCAACCGTCCAGCTCCATGAGGTACTCCAGCCGCCAGCGCTCCTGGTAGTGGCGGCGATGGTCTCGGCCCCTCCGAGGCCGGACCGAGATGCCTGCCCTCTGGCCCTCTCCCTCGCCCTCCTCGGCCTCCTCCTCCTGCTCTGCCGGCCCGGGCCTCTCAGGCACCCAGCCAGCCTCTTCCTTTACGTCTGGGGGGCTGAGATCCTGAGAGGAGGGGGCTCCAGCAGCGGGGGCGGAGTCCCGGCTCTTTCTGGTCAGGTCCTGGGGGACGAGGTCATCGTCTGTTGGGGAAGGGGTGAAGGAGAAGGGCTCAGCCTGCTGCTGGCTCGGTTGCCCTTACGCACACAAGAGGGTTCCATCCTTGCTCCTCACCCCAACCCCAAGCTAGCCGGCCCCAGCCAGAGAGAGATGGGTGGGGAGTTACAAGTCTGTATGTGGAGAGAAAGTAAGCCTGCAGCCCTCAACCAAATGTCCCTGCCTCCCAATTTTGTTTTCAGCGCCCATGCTGCCGCCCTAATATCAAAGGGACCTCAGCCCTGGGACAGCCTCGCACCTGGTGAGGACTGGCTGAGCTCGGAGAGAGCCTCAGGCTGGTCACCCCAGGCCTGCAGCAGGGCACTGCGCTGGGGGCCACTGAGCCCTAGGGAGCTGGGGTGCACCTCCAGCACGTGAGCACGGATGTCGTCCAAGTGCAGGCTCGGCAGTGCCCGGCCACAGGCCATGCACACCAGCCGATTCCCCCGTGGGTCGTAGTCCATGAGACACTCGGCCCGGAACCAGTTCTGCAGGGACTCCTTCAGCCTCCGCTCCAGGCGCCGGGCCCCCAGCCCCCTGCTGCCCCCAGCCCTTCGGGAGGCTGCCAGGCGCCGGCGCCGAGGTGCCACTGGGCCCCCTCGAGTCCCTCGCCGCTGGCGCCGGCAGCCCCCACCAGCTGGGGCTTTGCCTGAAAGGGTTGGAGGGAAGCAACTGAGACTCTGGCCCTCTGGGGAGACCCCCACCACAGCCAGGTGCTCCACACACAGCCTCTTTCTCAGGTCCCTTTCCTTGTCTTTTCCTCTTTCCTCTCTCATCTTTCTCTCTTGTTTTTTAGACAGAAACTCATACAGCCTAGGTAGGGTTCAAACTCTCTATGCAGCTACCATCATCTAACTATTGATGCTCCTGCCTCCACTCTCCTGGTACTAAAATTTCAGGCATGTGCCACCACACCCATTCCCTTCATCAACACCCTCTCCCTAATCCTCCACCCAGCCTTCCTAAGCCAGATTTTAGCTCCTCCCCTGGGCTTCACTATTCTAACACCCCCATTTCCCTCACCAACTCACAGCCCTTTCCTCAACTTACCCCTCCCACCCCTACTACTCTCCTTGCTCCTTCTACTACACACTGTCAAGGGTGCTGGAAACTACCCCCACACCACTATCCCTCCCTACACTCAACAGTAAGGGCAGCAAACAGAATCTACCCAAAGGAGCAGAGAGAGGCTTGCTATAAATAAATAAATAAATAAATAAATAAATAAATAAATAAATAAATAAATAAAT